ACTAGTAGGTTTGCTGATTATGGTACGTCTGCTGTTAAGAGGAAGAAAAGAGAGACTATTAAAATTAATAGATTAGGAAACGGGGATAGAAAATTGACTAGCAACTACTCAGGCTTGATTGATAAATTGAGGGAATGAGAGTGATTTGAGCCGCCATCAAAATAAGGCGAATCAACTTGTCTGCTCGGTGATGTTTCTAACTTCACTCACACTCGTCAAATGTGTTATATCAAGTTCATCAACCGAACCAGACATATGAGATTTCACAGCCCAAGTCATGCCTTTTCTTGGGTCATTAAGTCTTGATCACCAGAGCTTGACATTTGCCTTTTTACTCAAGCTGTATTGATAACTGAGAAGAAACGATCAGATTGTCCTACAAGCCTACAAGGGAGGTACCACATTGGCGATGGACAAGAAAAAATATACAAAGAAGATGGAAAGTATTCTCGGGGACACCACAACTTATCGAGTGCTTGCAAGAGACCCAACAGCTAAAATCAAAGGGTCATTGCAAGAAAGGCGGAAGGAAAGGCATAGAAACAGGGAAATCGATAAATTGACAATGAATTATCTTATTCGAGACGAAGCAAGAGCCCCACTAGCATACGGTTTTCTGAAGGTACGCAAAGAAGGAGGCTGATAATCAACAACAAACACGGATCAGCAGGTAAACTGGCGAAATTTATCTGCCTCAAATAAAACGACTAACAAATTATTGAATACAGTGAATAATTCATACGAATTTTGCTAAAGAATCAAAGGCTCCAGTCTGGAGGAAAAATAACTTTTGGTGAGCTTTGGTGTACAGTCCACGCACACTAATATAACAGGAACCAAAGCAATCACGTCACTAGTGGATATCTTAGAAAAAGAAGATGGCCTCATGGACAGGAAGCAAATCTGTAAGGAGTCTCTAATTGAATTAATCGACCTAACAATAAGAAATACCTATTTTATCTTTAACAGCCGAATGTATAAACAATTATTTAGTCTGCCTAGTCTACTCTCACCTGCTGGCCAATGTCTATATGGACAAATTGGATTATAATGTCAAAACTCCGCCTGAGCAGCCAACAGTAATTATGCGATATTTGGATGACTACCTCGCAATCTGGTCACATGGAAAAAAAACATTAAACGATTTCCTCGTCTTCATAAACGAAATGGTTGAAAAAGTTACATTTACCATTGATGCGGAAGAGAACGGACATTTACTTTTCTTGGATGTTGAGGTCATTCGCTCCGAGGAAACTCTCAAGAAACGACTTTTCCCAAAAAAATCACATGCTGGAATAATTCTTAAATTCCAGTTTAACTATACTTACGGAATGAAGATTGAAATATTCAGGAGTAGGTCATAAGAAGCCTTCGACTCATTGATTCTGAGTTCTATGAAGACGAACTAGAAAAAAACTCAGATGTTTCTTGGAAACGGTAATCCAAAAGAAACAATATAATACAATATGCCGATAGTGCTGAACATATGGAAGGATGGAAATTATGAAAGGAAAGCAAGAGAGACAGAGGAAAACGACGGATATGTCTACCATACTGCGAATTGGCTCGGAAACAGTGGCCGATACAATGGAGTTCCACATGTGGAATGTAGGATAAGAAATTAAAGGCTAAAAGTATAGATGGGCCTGATATCAGTCACCAGTGTGCGTGCATTTTTAATGTGTGTGCCTTAATGGGAGGCGTCTGGTAACTTATTTGATAACGGGGGATACCAACTAAAACAAACTTGAATAAATCCTAGCACCATAGGATTAGATGAGAGTGCTAACTTGATAGTGCGCTTTTATAGATTCAGGAGGAGATAAAGGGAATCGGTGCATTTTGATACTAGCGGTTATGACTTAGACCGGACACAGGGCCACAAAGAATGAGACCCAATGTAGATGGAGATGAGATAGAGCATAACTGAGTCATGGGTTTGAAGCCTAAGGAGAGGAATATTCCCAGGCATGGGCATGGGCACTATCTTCCCTAAGGCCTCTAATGTGGCGTAATTGGGGGTAGTAAATGAAGGCTTTTAGACAACCAGACAGCGGTTTCGATGTTTGGCAGCGACCAATTGACAAGTGGGATAGTATAAAATGGGACAAAATGAAGGTCAGAAGCCCTGCAAACGGCACATGAAGCTGTTGGTGAAGATGCTTACGTTTTATTAAATTCATTTATAGCGATACATGCTTAGGCGAACAGAAAATTGATCCATGGTATTGCCTTCACTTGTCACTTTGCTAAGTTGTAACTCTATGCTTACGATGGCGTCTCTCATTGACAGTGTCGGCGAAACGTTTAGGAATCTACCAAGTCAATGGTTCGATGCTGGAGATAATGGATATTAAGGCAGAGGACACATGGCTAGGTATGTTCCACAAGATCTCCCTGACACTTCGACCAAATTGCGAAAGCGAGCTCAAATCAATATTGTATTTTAACTGCCTAGAATAATTTGATTACCATGAATATAACCTAACCTTCATTATATAAAATGTCGTACATATAAGTTTTATTATCTCGGACGATCTCCGTTAAAGCAGAATAGCAATAAACACTCATTCTATCGGCCTCAAAGCAATCGTTAAGTCCATCTTGAGACTACTCGTTGCACGCGGTTTTCGGAGTCATATGTATTATAGTTGAGCCACATACGATTTATTCAAGAAAAAATTTTATTGCGCATTCAATTTCTTATATATTTTACTCCCTCGGCAGGATTTGAAGCTTGTTATTTTAACATTTTAGATGTATTCATCACTCTGTTTCGTTTAAGCTCATAAAGGACTGGTAGTAGAATTTTCCCATAATGCTATAAATAGAGCTGACGTTTCCATTGAATTTCACATAGCTTTGCTTTCTCATAAGATGTTCTTATCCAAGCTTAAGTGGACTGCAGTTTCGACCTCGCATAGGTCTTATTGACACCCTCAGCGGGAGTCGAACGATGACACGTTAACCACTCCGCCACATTGCTACCAGTGTCCTTGGGTCAGAGGGAATATGCGAATCTCAAGGAAGGCTAAGTATTTTTCCAGATCACATTCTTTGGTTGGATTGTCGATTGTCAATATTTCTCATATAACTAACTTACTGATAATCTAAAATCCCTACTTATAAACGAAAAATAACATTTTACCATTTTGCACAGCCCAACTGTCATCCAATCCGATGACATTTAAAATTACTTGGCTCTCTTTTCCTGAACATTACTTCAATAGAAATAATAATTTAGGCGGTAATTCATTAAAGAGATGGGCAACCCGTTCGCTTCTGGCTTTTTAACACGCTTGTATGCAAGTCGAAGTATTTCGCGATGCTTACTTCTTGATGTATTTAAAGTTATTCAGGCTGCTTGCAGGGTGACAACCCTTTATAAGGTCGAATGCATGCTTTATTGAGGATCCC